CCATTGCTGTCTCTACTTCAGCTCACTTAGACGGTTCAGTTTACAGTCCCCTCCTGCCTAAGCATTTGAAATGCAAATAATGCGGGTTTTGAGCTGTCCCAGGCTGCATATTTCTTACAAATCAATATATGTTCATTAGCTGAACCCTGTGTTAATAGCCCAGATTTTCACGAAAGACATGGAAATAATTCTTTTAGTTTTACCTTGTGGTGTGCTATACCTTTCTTTTCTTCTACTGTTCTCCTTCCCTTCTTTTTTTACCCAACTTCCCAGACTGGTAAAAAGGCTTTACCAGAAGTGGGTGATGGCCAGCCCTGACTTGTTTTTATGGTCTTCTTTGCAAGCCCTTTCTCATGGTATTAGGGGTGAATTAATCTGTTGGGTTTTTTTTTTTCCTAACTTTACTGACAGTTTTCCTTGTTTCACAAGTCAGTTTACCCCTTTTCCCAAGTTTCAAAATGAAAACAAAAATGCATTTTCAAAACTTCTGTTACGCAGTTAAACAGGAGTATTTTTAAAGAGCTTTATAGGATCACTTCCTCCCTCCCTCCCTCCCTCAGGAGTGCTTCCTTTGCTTTCATTGTCTGCGCCTCTGGCTCCACAGATGTCTCAGAGACAGAAATGCCTTTTCTTTCCAGCACCTTTAGCTTTAAGCATGCTCTGCCTCTCGCAGAACTCCGTGCTGTTTTCCTGGGTTTCTTTCAGGTCTGGGTAACCGTCATCTTTAACAGCCTCATTAGAGCTGGATCGCTTGGCTTGCCTGTCAGAACTCTCCTGTGTCCTGTCTCTGCCTGGCCAGTTCAGCGATGTGAAGCTGACAGCTGGTTTTAAAATCTTGCTAATTCCTGTCACGTTTCAGTGGGGACCACCCCTCTCATTCCCTCAGAGTCACAAACGAACAGAAGATTACTGTAGGTAGCTGATCTTTTTGTCATTCTCTGGCTCACAAATTCTGCCTCCAGTGATTTGTTTTTTCTTGTGGTTTGAGTGAGCCTTTTGATAATTAAAAAATTATTTTTCTTTAATTTGTGGTTATTGTCCAGCTCCCTGAAGTGTAGAACTGGATGGCCTTGAAAAGTTAACACACAGACGAACTGGGTGAATGCATTATAAAGCAAAGCAAAATGCTTTCAGCCACACATTTGCTTTCCCTCTTTCATTGCTTGTAGTTATTTTCAGAGAGTAATTTTCCTTAAGCACAGATAATAAAATGTATGTACATGTGTGTTGTCACAAAATCATTGTTGCCCTTAAGTTGCCCCTTGGACTGTCTGCACAGGGCTGACATTCATACTCTTCTTGGCTTTCTCTACCTGGGCAATCAGAAACCATCTGGTTAGAAAACTGCTGACGTAAGATGCCTTACGTACCATCTCTTTTGCTAGAGAAGCGTTGAGCTCCATCGGCTTCAGATACCGTATCCTTCCAGCTTTTCTCTGTTGTTTGTGTAGTATCTCATCTTCAGGTCACATTTTTGAGAAGATTTCGGTTAAGCAAATTGTTTTTCTGCTAAAGCTTGATATTTGTTTGTTTGTTTCTCCAGTGAGACGCGGCCCTTTGTCACTTGTGACAGATCTGCTGGATTTGTCGCTTGTCTGCAGCATGACCCAGCGGGGTGCGCTCTGCTCTGCAGGGGCAATGCAGTCTGGCTCCTCCATGCAGCAGCTTTCCCTTACCTCTGAGTTGGGTGCTTTGCAGACAAATGTGCTTTGTGGCCTATTTTAGTCTGCTGCATTCAGACCATGTTTTAGGGGACCTTCAGAATAAGTGTTGTATAACACTGCTGAACTGTAACTCTCTTCATCAATTCATTAGCATAACAGCATTTATTTAAGGCAGAAAGCTACAGCGTCTGCTCATACAGAGGTCAGGGTGTAGCTAGCCAAGCAACAGGGAAAAAATTGCCAAATTAAAATTTAATTGTTTCAGGTATTCAATTTTTTGGTTCTGTCGTTTTGTAAGAGGGCTTTTTTTTTTTTTTTTTTTAAAGCAGCCTAATCATTTTATAGTATATCCCTTTTCTAAAGATAGTGACAGCTTGGAGGTTCCTTTTCCAGCCAAGTGGTAGTCTGGACCACCAAACCCAGTCTGCTGCTGGTCAGGACAGGTTGGATTAATCAGGAAAAATAAGGATTGTAACTGGACTCATCCTGCAGTATACTCCCTGCGATTTTTTTACTATGTAACCATTCCTTGCCCTTCCTGAACCATTTACCCTTTAAATACAGCCTCCCACCCCTCTTTTCTGCCAGGTCTTGTTTCACGTGTCTCAGACACCCCCTCCCAAATGTAGCCTGAATCCTGCTGCGTGCTGTGGTGACTGTGGTGAGGGCTTCAACAGAGCCCGTAAGCTGTGTGACCTCCAGCAAGTGGAGATGTGTCCGTCAGTGCTGCTGGGTTTGATCAGTTGTGCAGAGCTCTTGTAAAGCTTACTGTGTTTGAGGCTTGATCTTTATTTTGCTTATAATTTTTAGAAAGTGTGGGTACACTTTAGAAAAACTACTGGCAGTAAAGGCATTTTCAGTGAATCAGTCTCTTATGTGGGAAAAAAAAACACCCAAAAAGTGACATTGCATGTAGCTATAAATGGAAACTAATGTCTGTTATCTCTGAGTCTGTAGGCAAACATTATAAGCTGTCATTAATTAAGCACCTGTGTTATAGGAATATAATAATATTCCACTTTTGCATTAATTCTTTGTTATTGGGTTTTCTGTGAGGGGTTTTTGGTTCTGCCTTTGGTAACAGGGGAAGGGCTGTGGAGATGCCCCTTTAAGAAGCTACCTGAAAAGCTCCCCCTCTTCCTCTGTCAGCCCCACCTCTGACCAGGGCCAAGCCAATTGGTGCCCCTGCAAATTCATGGATTTAAGGGGGGTGCAGGACATGCCTCCCTCTCTCTCTGGCACCGGCCCTGACCAGCGCGGCCCAAGGTGCGGGTGGCACGGCCCCGGCCTTGCCCGGCTGGGCTTGGCCGGCCACAACCACAACTTAAGCTTAAGCCCTGCTGCAGCTTCATCCTGAAAAAAGAGAGAGAGCCGGGATCTCCAGAACAATCGGAGGAGACCTGCAGTGGAGAAAGGAGTGGGGCCTGAGAACAACTTTGAAGAACACCAAGGTCGGTCTGAAGGAAAGAAAAGAGAGGGAGAAGGAGGAGGAGGCAGAGCCCAGGTTTCCCCTTTGCAACCCATGGCGAGAGCCGGGTCGACTGGTGGTGTGTGAGGGAACTGTGACCATGGGCAGACCCAGACTGGAGATTTGTGGACTTGGGCTGAAGCAGTTTTGTGTGTGAGGGAAACTGCAGCTGTGGGCAGACCCAAATTGGACTTTTGAGGACTTTTTTCCCTATAGAAAGGGGGCCACGTGGAAGCAGAGAGAGACACTGGGCTGAGTTTTGTTGGGATTTTTTTGGGGTTTTTTTGGTTTTTTTTTTTCCCTATTCCTAAGACATCCCATGATGTGGCAGGAAAACCGACTGCAAACTCCCACCCCCATCCCCCTGCGCCTCAGGGCAAAGCCGGAGGGGGAAGGTGAAGAAACCAGGAGCAAAAGCTGAGCCCGGGAAGAAGGGAGAGGTGGGGGGAAGGTGTTTTGATTTTAAGATCTCCTTGTATCTCCCATTGTTCTGCTCTGATGTTGGTAACAAAATTGTTTTGCTTGTTGTTTTTTTTTAATTCCTTATGATGAGTCTGTCTTTTGCCTGTGAGCTGTTTAAGTGGTGAGAAGCCCTCCCAGTCCATATTTTGACTGGCCCTTTTCTGGGACATCGTGGTGCTCAGTTAGGCACTGGGCCTAAACCACGATATTCTTGCATTATAGTAGGCCCTGTCATATTGCAGAGAAAGCAAAAGTTTCAGGCCTGAAGAGCTGGAGAGCTGAATGTTGCCTGGAGATGGGTTTCTGGGGCAGACATGTGATCTGTAGAGGAAGAAAGGAAGAGATTGTCTTCTAAATGAAGATACAAGTTTTTAAGATTATAAATATGTTTTTACTAAAAACACTGCTGCTTCAGCTCATTTGGAAGCCATTTGTAATCAGATGTTCAAACTGATGTTTGTTTTCTTGTATTACTGTAGAATTCCTACGCCAGCAGTACTGGTAACACAAATCGCAGTTTCAGACTTACCGCTGTTCTTGCTCACAGTAAAGCTGTGACACAACTTCAGCACTGATCATGCTCTTGCACGTAGGCGCACAGATCTCTCTTACATTTTCTTTCATATGTAGAATATCTGTTTTCTCCTATTTTTGCTGGGTATTTCTCAGTAAATCCTTGTAAGAACTCAACAGTAAGAAAGGAAAGGTGCCACCTGAAATGATAGCTTCTGTTTGCTTTTTAATATTGAAAGTGGTGGTGTTTTTTGCCTCACTTTTGCAGTGACTTTTGCTGAGAGACTGTAACAAGGTGTAGAGCTGAAGTATCTGTTCTGATGATGGCTTGTTTGCTTCTCTTCTTATTCTGCAGTAAGAGATGTGTACTTAAAATGTTTTTTTGAAAGATAGAGGAGCTGTCCTGGCAAAAATCAGATCCCATCTATAAAAAGTTCAACTAAGCACTGGCAGTATAAACAAAACAGGATATAACATATCTGCTGCATAAGACATCGTGCACAGCACTAAAGAGCTATGGGATCCTCCACACAGGCATTTTACCTTTTCCCTGGTGACTGTCTTGGTTCTACTTTTCTTGGCAGTTTTGCATTTTATTTCTTCTGTATTATCTCTCTTTTCTACCTCTTCCTGCAAAAAATCAACCTGCTTGAATATGTCTCTTAATTCATAATTTTTACACCTCAGAGGGTGATATTTACAAAGGAGGGTACAAGAATTCTGGTGTAAATTTAAGTTTACTCATTGCTCATGTACATAGATAAGTGCATTCGCTTCTAAGGCATATAAGTTCTTAGGATTTTCTGGCAGGGATCCTTCCCAAGCGTGTCTATTCTGAACTGGAGGGACTTGGTACTGGGCATTATAATAACTTATTTTATTTTTGTCTTAACTTTTTTTAAAAAATGCCAGGTGTTACAGAGGAGGAGAATGCTGCAGAACTGCAGAAAACAAAGGCTGTACCAACTGTAAACAGACTGACAGTGGATGTTGTGGAACTGGAAGCTCTCAGGAAGTCTGTGGAGGACTTTTTCTGCTTTTGCTATGGTGGGTGCTTTAATGTCTTCTAAATAGCTGGTTTGGATTCCTTAGGTTTTGTTCTAGTTGGGAGAAATGTATTGCATGATCTTAGCCTTCCAACTTATGCTTCCAGCTATGTTAAAGGGGTAAGCTTAACTTTTAGTAACTGACTCTAAAACATACGCACATGGATAGTTTTATTTTTGATGTGTTCTGTGGGATGTGATTTGAGATTATTGCGCAGAACAGCACACTTAGGTTTTTGGCTGCTTTTTTCAGTGGGTTCCAGCGTAGGTTAAGGGGAGCAGTACTTGGTTTCCTGTAGAGATTTGCATCTGCACCTTGCTTTCACTGAGTCCTCTCCATAGTAAAAGGTTTTATGAGGGACTCCTCCTTTTGGTAACTTGAGTGCTCTCTTTTCTTCTTCTAGGTAAAGCTTTAGGAAAGTCAACAGTGGTACCTGTGCCATATGAGAAGATGCAGAGGGACCGGACTGCTGTGGTGGTGCAGGGCCTGCCCAAAGGGCTTGCATTTAAACATCCAATGAATTACAATGTTTCAACCCTGAAATGGATTTTGGAAAACAAGTCAAGGATCTCATTTATCATCAAAAGGTTATTTGCTCTCTCTTGTGCTGGTCTGTCCGCTTTAGTTTTTTACTTAAATTAAGTCCAATTAATTTTAATTTCAGTTAAATACATTGCAGCCTGTTTCACTTGAACAGGAGTGTTCTCTCTTTAATGTTACACAACCAAGTAATTATGTCTTTGACAAAGCTATGGATTTTTCTTTTCATGTTTCCACACAGGCCATTTCTGGAGCCAAAGAAGCACCTAGGTAAGTTACAACTTACTCAGACTAACTGGAAGCAGATCAGAATTTTGGTTTAGATAACAATATAGATACAAGATTTGGTATGTGGATGAAGTGGCAAACTGTGCAGAAATTCCTAGACTGTGAGTTGCCTTATGGAAATACAACCTTTTCCTTTATGTGTTCTGCCAGGAGTAACTAATTAGAGATAAAATATGTTATGTTGCATTTTTCATCCTTTTACTCAATTTAATTTGAAAGTGAATTGGGCAGTATCCTAGAGGAAGGAGAAGTGAACTGTCAGGAAACTGCATTGCATTTTTAGAAGATGCCAAGGCTTTGCAGTGCTCTGTGTTGCAATACATAGCTGATTTTGGCATTTATATCTTAATTTTAAAATGGATTTAATCTTCTGAAGTGGTTGTAGTTCCTATGAAAGCTTCTACAGATTAAAAAATCCGAGCTAGAGTAAGTTTTGTAGAACTCTGCAAAGATTCACTTCTAGCTTAGAGGAAATGCCTTCTATTCCTTTTATGGGATCATGGTGCTTTACTTGCAAAATTCATAAATGTGAGGATTTGTTTTAGAACAGAATGAAGCAATCTCTATAGGAGTATAGTAAAAAAATAAAAGTTTCTCTTTCTTAGGTGAAACAGCCAGAAGTTGATGCTTGATTAGTAAAATCATAAAAGTTGCCTATGCCCAATAAGAAGACTAGGGAGTGGGAAATTACAGAAATTCTGGTAATAATATCTTTCTATTAAAAAAGTAAGGCAGGTTTTCAGTGTGGTAAATGACATTTGAAATACATAATCTGTTTGTGTCTAGCTGTAATTTAGGACTAATCTGAATGTCTATAAAACTGTATCAGTTGTCTTTTAGCAGAGTTTAGGTGAAAAATTTACCTTTGTTTCCCAAGATTTTCACTCAACATGATGCAAGAGAGCAGTGAAAAGAATGGCGATATGCACATTTGAAGTAAATTTGTACTGGTGTTGCTTTATAGATTAATAAAGCAGTTTAATGAGATCTTTTCCTCATATCTGGGAATACAGAAAATATGCACATATGCAGGTTTTTGCTTCATGAAATCAATGTTATGTTTTCCATTTGTGTTTAAGGTAAATGGAGTACAGGAAATTCAAAGATTGTCTTTTAACTTTCAGGATCTCATATGACAGATCCTTCACATTCAATTATACCTCCAGGTGGAAGGTAAATTTAAAATAATGTAGGTTTTTTGTATCAACTATGAGTTTTCCTACAGTTTATCTTTCTGTTAATGTGCTTTTCTGTCCAGCTGACCTTTGGATAACTTTTACTTGCCTGGGATTATAAAAAGCATGAAGCTGAATTTTCTTTGTTTTGACCATTATTTGTGGGGAAACTGTTCCGAATTAAACAGCTGGTAAAGTTTCTCCTTGGTTTAATTAGCCCGGTGAGTGTTCTTAATTCACAGTCTGTCAGTGAGGGATAAGTTTGTTATGTTTTATGCTATGGCAGTGATGGGGAACAGATGTAATGTTGCTTCTTTCCTCCTCCTCAATTATTTTTTTTTTTTTGTAAATAAATGAAGATGTTATATCTGGAGTAAATAAAAAACTGGTTAATGTGAAAACGGGGAGGAAAATGGCAAGTGTTTTTGTGCTTCTGAGTTTGCTTCTCATTAAACCATAAACATGCTTTGAATATTGTGTATGTATGTATCCCTAAAAATGCAGGGAAAGGACATTCATGGCAGTTCACTTGAGATAAATCAGATAAGTTAAGATGCAGGGTTTTTACTTTCATGTTCCTAGTTGGAAAAAAAAATTGGGATAATATTTGGGTTTTATAATGCTGTGCTTGATCTGTTTCTTTTTATAGCTGTCCTATTCAAGTGAAAATGGAAACAAATGAGGATTCTGGTATGTACAAAATTTTACTCTTATTTCCAAAAAGAGAGCAAAGATTGTAAGCTCCAATAAGAAAGTATTAAAAAGGCATCCTTTGTGGAAAAGAACATTTTTTATTTCCTTAAAATGCCTACTTTTCAGTTGGTGTTTTTATCAAGTATTTAATATTAGCCGAGTGTTTCCATTTCTGGGAGGAGGAAATTTGTAAAATTTTGTAGGCTAAAATAATTTAACTTTGTAAATAGTTCAGTTTTAAGTGGAGATGAAAATCCTGTTTTATATTCTGTTCTGTTTCAAGAGTGCTGTATCCCTCATAGGGAGAGAGAAACTTGGTTTATTTGTTAAAATTACTATGATACTGAAAATGACAGAATGTTCAATTGCTAGCCAAAATGGAAATAAATAAATAATAAATAGCGAAATGCATTATTTATTGGACCCAAGCGTTCTTAAGTTCCCCTGCAGGTAGGACAAGATGCTGCAAGGCACTGTGATCTGCAGCAGAGCAGTGCTGAAATGTATGCTTTGAGATAAAGGCATGAATAATCCCATTAAGGCCAGTGAGACAACAGGTGTGCTTAGAGATAAGCTGGTGACTTTCCTTTTTGTTGGGTTGGGCTACACTGCTCAGCATTTTGTATAAGAATTAAGTTTTTCTATTTAGTTCAGCTTTTGCTCTAGTTCTTTGTGCTTCACAACTTCAAACTTGTGGTTTGGGAGCTCTTCATGGTTAACATTTATCTTAATGTACACAAAGATTTAACTCGAGCTTTTTGTCAAGTCACAGAATCACAGAATCACAGAGCGTTAGGGATTGGAAGGGACCTCAAAAGCTCATCCAGTCCAA